AACTAGAATTCACCTCTTTTTAGAGCTGGGAGCTCAGGCATCCTGACTTGCACCCTACCCCTCTGCTCTCACCCACTAGATTTCACTCCCCTCCTTGAGCCACAAATAGAACCCAGGAGTCCTGATTACCTTAGACAAGGAAAAGAATCACTATTAGGACCACACACATCAAAGTAAATAACATTCTGCTGACACATAGATATTTATTTCAAAGCCTGGATTCAAATTCCACTGGGGATGTTGGGGTCATTACTACCCCACATATTGGAATTTCTGGGTAGTTCTGTGTCATTTTTCTAAAAAAATCTGGGAAACTATATCCCCCAGCTACATTGCAAAACTGTATTAAATGGATTTTCTTAAAGTTACAAAGTCAAGCATTCAAAAATTAAGAAATATCAGAATTAAGGTTGTCTGTGCAACCTTACCTCTGCCCCAATTGGGGGGAAAGTATATGATGCATTAATATGTTATTAATATAATGAATATTAAAGTTGATTAACAACTAGGACTGATAAAAATCCATTTTAAGGAAAGATGTCAATTTTTTGTTTCAAAATATTTGAAACTGATACAAATTTAATTTGTATTTTTTGCAATTTACAGATGCTCCCTGGGTTACGCAAACCTGATTTACGCAAATCCGGACTTACGGGAAAAGTTCCGTAAACTTTTATTTTTTTGTGTGTGTGTGTGCGTAATTGTCAGGTATATGTTCCCGACTTACGCAAAATTCGATTTACGCAAGGTGTTCCGGAACGGAACGCTTGCGTAAGTCGGGGAGCGTCTGTATTGCAAATTCTTTACAATTTATTTTTTTTTAATCAAAAATATTACTGAATTTTTTTGTTTACCAAATACCTAGTTTTTGGAAAACAAAATCAGTGTTTTTGATAAAAATGTTGAAATAATTTTTAAGAATTTTTAAAATAAATAAAAATTAAAAGGAAAGTATTTTTTCACCAAAAAAATCAACATTTTTGACAGTGTCAATTTTTCACAACATATATATATTTCTAAAGGCAGTTTCTAACAAAAATGCTTTTTGCTTGAAAAAATTCAACTATTGCTATTGTTTTTATTTAACATTTATATTGCGGTAATTCCTAAAGGTCTCAATCACATTGGGCCCCATTACAATTATTATTTATTAGTTGCATTTGCACCAGGTGCTGTACAGACAGATGATAAGTGGCAGGCCATGTCACAGGAAGTATAAATGCTGAGAGAGCACCTTGGAGAGATTGCACTTTAATGCATGTGCACAAAGGGGCAGAGTTAATGTTCAGGTAACCTTAACTCTGGCATTTCCTAATTGTTGTGTATCTGACTTTGCAATCTTAAGAACATAGTTTTCATGTCTATCTATCTCAGATACTTTACAGGGGCTGCCTTTGTCATAGTAACTAAGTAAATCTTTAATGTATTTATCTTCACAACACTCTTTTGGGGTAGGGAGATATTCCTATTTTTACAGATGGAGAATTGAGGCACAGAGAAACTGAGGGCGAGTATACAGTAGAAACTTTTGCTGGCATAGTAACACCAGTTAGGGATGCAATTAAAAAAAACATTTTCTATACAGGCAAAAGCCCTAGTCTAGACACAGTTATAGTGGCATAAAAATGCTTTTGTCAATTAAGCTTATTTCATTTGTGGAACCAGTACAAGCTATGCCAGCAAAAGCACCTATTTGTCAGAATAAATTGTGTCTGCTATTACAGCTATATCAGCAAACAATTTCTAGCACAGACTTGGTCTAAGTGACTTGCACAAGGTCGCACAGGGAGTCTGTAATGCAGTTGCGATTTGAACCCAAGTCTCCCTGGGTCCTAGGCTAGTGGTTAACCATTGCACATGCATCTAGAAACCAGAAAGAGGCAGCTCACTATCTTGGTTAACGACCAGACACACGACAATATTTTGGAGTAGACTAACTCTGCATCTGTAGCTCAGAGCAGTGGATTGGAGGCGGAACGTAGTAATTTTGTGGCTTTGCCTAGACTACACTTTAAAGGTGCTATGACACATGGAATTAGGGAGCTCAATCTAATTAACTCCAGGTTTGCTTTGTTTTGGCAGGCGTTAATTAAATTCAGCCAGACAGCAAGTGCTAACAAACAGCCTGTAAGGGCTGGTAGAGAAGCCACTGGAGTGATTCAGCCTGGGGGCTGTGTGCAGAAGGCACTGGTTGGTTGTATTGCGGAAGTGAAGTGCCTAGAGGCTCTAGGCCCTGGGGTGCTAGACAATCCCTGCCCTGAAGAGTTTACGCTGTACATAGACCAGACAGACAAAGGAGTGGGAGGGGAACTGGAGGCACAAAGAGGGGAAGTGACATGTCCAAGGTCACACAGCAGGTCGGTGGCGGAGCTGGAAATGGGCGTCCTCACCCAGTACCCCAGTTGGTGACTGGGAGGGGACAGCGTCTCACACGGGCGCTGGGGACTCACTGATCTCCCAGAAACGTGGGGGGCACGGGAAGAAGCCAGGGCAATAGGGGCATTGGA